CCAGCCCTTAGTTTAAAAACTGCTCTACAACCTTTTTAATTTTAAGTGCCAGCAGTCTGGTTCCATTTTGGTTTAGGTGGAGCCCATCCTTCCTGTACAGGCTCCCCTTTCCCAAAAGTTTCCCCAGTTCCTAATAGATCTAAACCCCTCCTCCCTACACCATTGTCTCATCCACGCATTGAGACCCTGCAGTTCTGCCTGTCTAATTGGCCCTGCGCGTGGAACTGGAAGCATTTCAGAGAATGCCACCATGGAGGTCCTGGACTTCAATCTCTTACCTAGCAGCCTACATTTGGCCTAGCAACCTCCAGGACCTCTCTTCTATCCTTCCCTTTGTCATTAGTACCTACATGTTCCATGACCACCAGCTCCTCCCCAGCACTACACATAAGTCTATCTAGATGTCTCGAGACTTTCGCACCAGGCAGGCAAATCACCATGCAGTTCTTCCGGTCATCAGAAACCCAGCTATCTATATTTCTAATGATTGAATCGCCCATTACTAATACCTGTCTCTTTCTTATAACTGGAGTTCCCTCCCCCGGAGAGGTATCCTCAGTGCGACAGGATACCACAACATCATCTGGAAGGAGGGACCCAACTATGGGATTGTTTCCCTCTGCTCCAGTTGGATGTTCTCCTTCCCTGAGACTTTCATCCTTCTCAACAGCACAGAGACTGTCAGACTGGGGGTGGGACCATTCGACTGTGTCCGGGAAAGTCTCATCTATGTACCTCTCTGTCTCCCTTAGCTACTCCATCTCAGCCACCCTGGTCTCCAAAGCCCGTACACGGTCTCTGAGGGCCAGGAGCTCCTTGCACCAAATGTACACCTACGCCACCTGCCTATAGGACAGGTAATCATACATGCTGCATTGGGTGCAATAAACTGGGTAAACCCCACTCTGTTGCTGGATGTCTGCCTGCATTCTCTTTTTACTCCTGCAGCTCATTCCTTTGTTGTTGTTTTGTATTTATCAGGGGGTGTTTTGGGCTTAAGTTTAAGGAATGTTAAATGTATGTAGCCCCCTCTCCCCGACTTGCCCTGTAAACTCCCTTCCAAAACTCCCCTGTTTGCTAGCGTCTCTGATCACTTAGGAGCAGGCTTTTTAAAGCCCTGATCTTCCTGAGCAGCTTGCCCTGGGTTAGGGTTAGGGTTAGGGATCAAAGCTTTGTTAAGAAGCTCTCAGCTCGCAGCCTTGCCTAGCAGGCCATGAGAGCCCAGGTAACGTTAACAGCATTTCTAAGTGACATTCCTATATTGGACATTTGCAGGGCTGCCACTTGGCCATCTGTGCATACTTTTACAACCCAGTATTCCATTACTGCTGTATCCAGATCAGATGCAAACTTTGGGAGGGCAACCCTGCAGTCAATTCAAAGCCCCACCTCCTATGAGTATTGCTTGTGAGTCACCTAAGTAGAATACATGGCTGCATCTACTCAAAGATGCAGCCATGCCTGTAATGTTTATTCTTCGACATGTGATGGAGAGGTCCCACCCTCCATCCCCTCTGCATTGGTGTCTCTGCTTCTGACGTTCGTGTGAAGGAACTGAAGGGGTTGGAGTGATACTGCCCTTATATGGCAAGGGGAGAGACTAGGGCTTCAGGGCCTATGTGCCCCCATATGGGTATTGCTAGTCCAAGTTCTATGGCTCTGGTGTGCTGGGTGTGCACACACCTAAGTAGAATACAGGGTTGCATCACATCTCAAAGAATAACAGTTACAGGTAGGAAACCATTTTTTCTCCTTTAGTTCAAGTAGTAGGCCATATGCTCAGTCCTGCAAAATACTGAGGGTGCTTCGCATCTCAACAGGAGTGTTCAGTTAAGTACCTAGTGGAACCTTACAACAGGAAGTTATGAGTGCTTGTGGTACGTGGCATAGTGGCTATCATGAAGTTCACAAGTGGCTACTGTTTTGTTACAGGAATTTACTTTTCTGTAGAGAACAGGTTAAAAGCATGCAAGGAAGAAATGTGTTTGCTGAGATATACACTATGTTACTGTGCAAATAGGTCACAGACTGGTAGATTGTGGAAAGATTTTAAAAAAATAATGATCTAAAACTATTTTCACACATAAAGTAGATTAGGGAATAGCAATTAGATACTGATCACTAGGAAATATTTACTGAAGTTCAAAAATCCAAACATATCCCTTTTGTGAATCTGCTGTGTAATTTATCATTTAAATGTGAATCACTAATCGAAAACTTATAAAGCAGCCCAGCCCCAGAGAGCTGCTGCTCAAACAGATAAAATTCAAAATATTTAAAACATAATATATTGTGTGAAAACCAAATACCTTCATTAAAATGGGGGAAGACTGAAACAACAAGGGCCAATTCTCATCATACAAAAAAAGCTTGGAGAAGTAGAGCTTTTAGGCATATTTTAAAAGTAGATGAGCTGACGTGGGTAAGCCTGGGGGAATGGGGGGGAGGGGCAATTTCCACACCTAGGGGTCACCACAGTAAAAGTTCTGGTTACCAACGAACATAAGCTGTGATAATGGAACTCTTAAATGACAGATGGTGTCAGGGCAAAGATACTTTCCAGGATGAGGGTCACAGAGATGGCCTTGAACATAGCCACATACCTCAATTAAAGGCTTAAAATCTGTAAAAATACAGAGGAGGTAAGAAATAGGATTGCACAGTGGATTGATAGTAAGGTACTGTGTCTTTCATTTCAAGGACACATGTTCAGATTCAACCCAAGTCAGCAGTAATTAAACAATAGTCTGGGCTGTCTGGTGATCTTGAAATAGTGGTCTATGTTCTATTCCTTGATGTCCCTATTATAAAACCCACCATTTCAGTGGGTATTAATTGGACCCTTGCTGGCATTCTGAGAAGAGAGGCCAAGCATTAAAAGTATATAGATATTGAGATTTCTCATTCCTTTGTGCGGATCAACTAGGTCTGGACCAAAGTACAATTATGAGGTAGTGTGGAGTATTACTGCAATGCTGGTGCCTTCTGTGAACAAACATGACTCTAGTCAACAGGACTGCCAATCTGGCACCTTTCTGAGACACTCAATTATTTAAAAAAAAAATTAAGAACAACAGAACCCAGAACATATGGGACTTTCTGATACTGGATGTAATTTTGCAGCTGAAAATTGTTGCTTGATCAGAGAATGCCTATACTATAGGGGTTGCTGTAACTGGAGTGGAAACCTCACTCACATTAGGAAGCCCCTGTTTCACTCATTCATAACTTTCTAAAACTATAGTCCTTGTTGCTGAAAACTTTCAGGCTTGAGCTAAGCCCCAAAATGATTTCTTGGAGGGTGAGAAGGAGGACATTGGAAGAAAATCAGTTTTTGAGAGGAAATATATATATATTTTTGGCAACTGCTTGTAGGAATATGGCATATATGAAAGATGACTGTGAAGCTCTCTGGGGTACTCAGGGATGGGAAGGCCCCTCACCGCCATCTGCCTTTAGCATGAGACAGTCTTGTCTGTGCATGCTGCAGACCAGCTTCCTGAATCCACCAGCCTCTGGCTGCACAAGTACTACCTTTCAGGGCTCCACAGACCTCACTCTCTCTGTACAGACAGTCATAGGCACACACCAAACCCCCAATCCTCAGAGTGTGCCCTGCAGTGTCCAGCCCCTCTTACACTGAAGACACCCAGAATTAACAGGCCTGCTATTCCCAAAGGAACAGAACACGAGCTTGTAAAATTCAGCTTGGAATGTTGATAGCCTGTTGTAAATGAGACAATACTCGATATAGATGTCAACAGATAGAGGAGTAAACATCTCGGCTGGCAGAAAACCTATTTTTCATCTTTGCAGGTGAGCAATACCGTATAGACTTGAAGAACATATTTTCAGTATACATACATAACTCCTTACTTAGTATTTGTACGCACATTTCACAGGGATATCAATGACCAGTGTGACACCAGCTTTTATTTGAAATCTCACATGACATTCTTTGGTGAACCAGAATATACATACCAGAATCAGGAGATTTCCATAGCCTCTCTGCTTTGTCAGTTGGCATTAACATATTTTTGCGTCACAATGAGAATAAATTATGGCATATGAAATACTGAATTCAAGCAGCAATGAGGATAACATCCTAAAGAAAGAGATGAAACTTCCATTCTTTGTTCATGAAGTTCAAATACTGGCCTGACCCTGCAAATGCATAAGCATAGGGTTGCATATGTGAACAGCTCCATTGGTATAAATGAATAAAGTAATGGACATGTGTATGTAAAACTCATCAGTGTGCGATTTTTCCTCACTATAAGAAAATGTAATGTAATCATAATTAATAATTATACATTGGGTTTCTTTGAACATTAATAGTAAAATAATAATAATTAATAATACTATAATTAATCATACATATATTGGGTTTCTTTTCAGTGCTCCTGTGATGATCTTCTTGGCTAATTTGCTTGCATGAGGACTGATGAAGATCTTGAGGCAATGTCCTCTCTGTTTAAAAGAGTTACCTTCCAACTAGTTGGCTTTTCTTTGGGCTCTCTCGGCTGGATTTTATCCTGTATTACAACGAGGCACGCAGAGTGGAGGCTGTGGCTTGTGGATAATACCACCATCTTCTCCTCTGGTATTGCCCATGTGGGAATCTGGAAAATCTGCTTTCCCCCAAATTTAAAAACCTCCAGTGACTATGGTATAGTGTGCTGTCATGAATTCAATTTCAATGAAAACTTTTTCCCTGTGGAAATGTTTCTTGCCCAGATCCTCCTGCTCATTGCTACTTTCTTGGGAGCATTAGGAATATTTTTCACTTTCTTACCACCCTGGCACTTTTATATGGGAACAATTCGCAAAACTCAGGCTATCTGCTTGTTTCTAGCTGGAGGGATCTTGTATATAATTGCAGGTCTCTGTGTCTTAGTCCCAGTGAGCTGGAATTTCTATTCAGTAGCAAACAATAGCAGTATCCCCTTTCCTCCTTCTTTCCACCTGCCCTCTTTCCCAGTAGCACAGAGAATTGGGATTGCTATTCCTTTGGGGATCTCATCTGGCCTCATGTTGCTAATAAGTGGGATCATTTTCCTCTATATCAGATCTCCTGTGACATCAATTAGGGTAAACCCTATGAACCCAAGATCTTAACTATCAGCCTAAAGAGACACACAACATTCTAGAAAGTGTTTTCCAGAAATTCTTTGGATTTGAATCAGACAAATCTAAATAAAGTTGATGGTTAGTTCTTACAAAAATAAAACAGTGACTCCTATTAATTGCCAAATATTTCCAAAGATTTGCCAATAATATCAACAGCTGTTTCATTCTACCACTGATAAATGTTGGTATCGTCTGTGTGTATGTAAACTTCAGTCACCTACTAAAAATATTAAAAAATGGGCATTCAACTGTTCACTGTTAATGAGTTCAAGTAAGCCCCCAACACTGTAACACATTTTGAGACTATATCTTCTAAGAATACAAATTCCTGGTGTGCTTGTTATCATCATTAATTTTGTAGTTGTTATTTATACAATACTATTGGTGTGAATGGTGAAGACAAACAAAATGATAGTGTGGCAAGAAAATGGTTTACAACAGTGAAAGAGCATGAAATGTGCTTAAAGTAATGTTCGGATATTTGCTTCACTTTGGATTGACTTTTTAAAACAAAAGTTAGGGTTTGTGGATGATGTGTGTCCAAAGTGAAGGTTGAGCTTGCAGGTTCAATGATAGAAAGCTGGCTAGCTGGTGGGTCTTCAGAATTGCTTTGAAGACTGAGGGTGTATTGCATATCGGATAAGAGAAGATATTCCAGACATAGAAGATTGCATGGGACAAGGCACAGAGCCATTTGTGGAAAAAGGAAATTAAACTCTCAGGAATTATGTGCCAACTAGAAGACTTTTATAACTAGCCTTATTAACTGTCATTGATATAAGGTAGCAGGGATTTTTATACTTACGCTTTGTCTACACTGAAACTTGCACTCATTTATTTAAAGGTGTGTTTTAAAACTGATTTAGTTAATTCAGTGCAAGTTTACATGCAGACATAGTTAAACTCTTCTTGCATATTGCTAAAATTTTACCAAGTGAAGTTGTATCATATTAGCTGTGACAGAGGTCTTACCTATTGTCCTACCCTGTATATAGTAGATGTTTCTGGGCCTGACTGTTATTTACACTAAGGATCTTGTTAAATGGGCTACATTGGACCTCTTATTTGCATTTGACACTTCACTCTTGGGCAGTGTAAAGAGGCCTTAATATAAATAAGAATCAGGCTTTTCTCTTTTTAATATTATTGTGGGTTGCATTAAATCTTGTCGTTATGGGTTGGGCACAACCACTGCCGGTCATTCAGGATCAATGTAAAGGGGTAACTGAAGTAATAGCAGTCTCCAAACCCAAAACACAGGCACATCTCTCTTCCAAAAACAAAGGCTACCCAGAAATCTGAACAACCCGGCCAGAGGGGTTTGCTGGATACAGTTTGATTAGAGGTGTGTGTATCTGGGTCTGTAAGAGAAACAGGACCCAAAGTGGCTTACTTTAAGCAACCTTTGGGTTTCTCTTTTAAAGATTGGGTGAGTTTTTTCCCCTGAGTTGTGGCCAGTGGGTTTTTCTGCTTTCTCTGGGCTTTTTTTTTGTCTTGGAGCATGCCCCGCCCCCAACACGCAGTGTGATGATGCATACACTGCCACCATGCCCACCATGATGACATAAAGATAGAAACCCCTCTTCAATGCCCGGCATAATGATGAAAATCCCGCGCCTCCACCCAGCGTGATGCTACAAAGATGCAAATGCTGCCCTTATGCCCAGTGTTAATGCCCTGCCCTGCATGACACAAGAAGAAAATCAGAGATTGGTTAACAGAAGGCCCACTTTGTGAGGTATGGCATTCCAGACACCATATTCACCAACAACAGACCCCCAATTTGCCTGGGAAGAATTCAAGGAAATTGCACGCACATGGAAGTTCGAACATCCCACCTCCTCCTTCCCAGCATACCCACAGAGTAATGGGAAGGTGGTATCAGCTGTGAAAACAACTAAGAGTCTGTTGCATTAGGCTGTTTCTTTTGGTTCAGACCCCTTGTTAGCATTTTTGGCACACATGAAAGCCCCATCACAGGAGTGAAAAACAGTACATTGCAGGTGCTGATGGGGCAAAGGACCAAAACCCTACTACTAATAAGGGGAGACTTGTTGCAGCCAGAAGGATGGAGATACTACCGAGAAGAGATGACTAATAATCAGAGAAAGCAGGCACTAGACTATGACAGGTTAGCCAAGGATCTACCAGCCCTGGAGACAGGCACTCCTGTGAGGATCCAGTCATTAGAGAGACACCAGAAAGAGTGCACCCTGGTCATACAAGGTGATTAAGCAAGAGGGACAAGTGATCTAAAGGAACAGGAGACCCTTATGAACCAGCAGACACAGCACCAAGAGAAAACATACAGAGATCATCACAGACTAGAGAGACAGAGAACCATCTGGAGACCAACTCAACAGGGATGGAGGAGACTCCACAGAGATATAAAAAGCAACAGAGGGTCCTGTGGCACCTTTAAGACTAACAGAAGTATTGGAGCATAAGCTTTCGTGGGTGAATGCCCACTTCATCAGACGCAAGTAATGGAAATTTCCAGAGGCAGGTATAAATCAGTATGGAGATAACGAGGTTAGTTCAATCAGGGAGGGTGAGGTGCTCTGCTAGCAGTTGAGGTGTGAACACCAAGGGAGGAGAAACTGTTTCTGTAGTTGGATAGCCATTCACAGTCTTTGTTTAATCCTGATCTGATGGTGTCAAATTTGCAAATGAACTGGAGCTCAGCAGTTTCTCTTTGGAGTCTGGTCCTGAAGTTTTTTTGCTGTAAGATGGCTACCTTTACATCTGTGTGTGGCCAGGGAGGTTGAAGTGTTCTCCTACAGGTTTTTGTATATTGCCGTTCCTGATATCTGACTTGTGTCCATTTATCCTCTTGCATAGTGACTGTCCAGTTTGGCCAATGTACATAACAGAGGGGCATTGCTGGCACATGATGGCATATATAACATTGGTGGACGTGCAGGTGAATGAGCCAGTGATGTTGTAGCTGATCTGGTTAGGTCCTGTGATGGTGTTGCTGGTGTAGATATGTGGGCAGAGTTGGCATCGAGGTTTGTTTCATGGGTTGGTTCCTGAGTTAGAGTTGTTATGGTGCGGTGCGTGGTTGCTGGTGAGAATATGCTTAAGGTTGGTGGGTTGTCTGTGGGTGAGGACTGGCCTGCCTCCCAAGGTCTGTGAAAGTGAGGGATCATTGTCCAGGATGGGTTGTAGATCACTGATGATGCGTTGGAGAGGTTTAAGCTGAGGACTGTAGGTGATGGCCAGTGGAGTTCTGTTGGTTTCTTTTTTGGGCCTGTCTTGTAGCAGGAGGCTTCTGGGTACATGTCTGGCTCTGTTGATTTGATTCTTTATTTCCTTGTGTGGGTATCATAGTTTTGAGAATGCTTGATGAAGATCTTGTAGGTGTTGGTCTCTGTCTGAGGGGTTGAAGCAGATGCGGTTGTACCTCAGCGCTTGGCTGTAGATGATGGATCATGTGGTGTGTTCGGGGTGGAAGCTGGAAGCATGAAGGTAGGCGTAGCGGTCGGTGGGTTTTCGGTATAGGGTGGTGGCCATCGCTTATTTGTACTGTGGTGTCTAGGAAGTGGACCTCCCGTGTAGATTGGTCCAGGCTGAGGTTGATGGTGGGGTGGAAGCTGTTGAAATCATGGTGGAATTCTTCCAGGGTCTCCTTCCCATGGGTCCAGATGATGAAGATGTCATCAATGTAGCGTAGGTAGAGAAGGGGCGTGAGTGGACGAGAGCTGAGGAAGCGTTGTTCCAGGTCAGCCATAAAAATGTTGGCATATTGTGGAGCCATGCGGGTGCCCATGGCGGTGCCACTGGTCTGGAGGTATATATTGTCACCAAATTTGAAATAATTGTGCGTGAGAATAAAGTCACAGAGCACAGCAACAAGTTGTGCTGTGTCATCATCAGGGATACTGTTCCTGACAGCTTGTATTCCATCTGTGTGTGGGATGTTTGTGTAGAGAGCCTCTACATCCATGGTGGCTAGGATGGTGTTTTCTGGGTGGTCACCAATGCATTGTAGTTTTCTCAGGAAATCAGTGGTGTCACGGAGATAGCTGGGAGTGCTGGTGGCGTAGGGTCTGAGTAGGGAGTCCACATATCCAGACAGTCCTTCAGTGAGAGTGCCAATGCCCGAGATGATGGGGCGTCCAGGATTTCCAGGTTTGTGGATCTTGGGTAGTAGATAGAATAACCCCGGTCGGCGCTCTAAGGGTATGTTGATTTGTTCCTGTGTTAGTGTAGGGAGTGTCTTGAGTAGATGGTGCAGTTTCTTAGTGTATTCCTCAGTGGGATCTGAGGAAAGTGGCCTGTAGAATTTGGTATTGGAGAGTTGTTTGGCAGCCTCCTTCTGGTAGTCAGACCTGTTCAAGATGACAACAGCACCTCCTTTATCAGCCTCTCTGGTGATAATGTCAGGGTGGTTTCTGAGCCTGTGGATGGCATTGCGTTCTGCACGACTTAGGTTATGAGGCAAGCGATGTTGTTTTTCCACAATTTCTGCCTGTGCACGTTGGCGGAAGCATTCTATGTATAGGTCCAGACTGTCATTTCGACCCTCAGGAGGAGTCCATGTGGAGTTCTTCTTCCTGTGTTGTTGGTGGGAGGGTATCTGTGTATCAGTGTGCTGTTCAGTGTTATCTTGAAAGTATTCTTTGAGTCGGAGGCGGTGAAAGTAGGCTTCCAGATCACCGCAGAACTGTATAAAACAGAGATATAGTTTGTTAGATTCAGAGACAGGTGACAGAGAGACAGAGGTCACTCCCGGTGTGGTCACCTGTTAAGGAGACCAAGCTATCTCAAAGACTATGTAACCTCCTCAGCCGGTGGTAAAGATGAGACTCCAACTTGGCAATGTGTCCGGCTCAAGGGACGTGGGATGGGAGGCCTGGGTATCAATTATTTGTTTTAAATGTTTGTAAAATAGGGAAGATATATCATGATCAGTGGAATTGGAATCAGAGGACCCATGTTCCCTAGAGGGACTGTTATTAAGCGGACACCTATTCAATTTAACC